GTAGATTTTCCAAAAAATAAAATATTTACATACAAACGTATCGTTGAAAATAAATATCAATTAATGGGACTCTAAGGAGAAATTTTAACATAAAACATAAGGAAATAAGCGAATAGAAATGGAAAATCTAAAAGGAATAAACAATGAAATCTTCAAAATGCCATGTTGCAAAACAGGGTCTAAACTATAGTCTAAACTATAGACTAGACTATAGACTAGACTATAGACTAGACTATAGACTAGACTATAGACTAAGACTATAGACTAGACTATAGACTAGACTATAGACTAGACTATAGACTAGACTATAGACTAGACTATAGACTAGACTATAGACTAGACTATAGACTAGACTATAGACTAGACTATAGACTAGACTATAGACTAGACTATAGACTAGACTATAGACTAGACTATAGACTAGACTATAGACGAGACTATAGACTAGACGATAGACTAGACTATAGACTAGACTATAGACTAGACTATAGACTAGACTATAGACTAGACTAGACTAGACTAGACTATAGACTAGACTATAGACTAGACTATAGACTATAGACTATAGACTAGACTATAGACTAGACTAGAAGACTAGACTATAAGACTAGACTATTAGACTAGACTATAGACTAAGAACTATAGACTAGACTATAGACTAGACGATAGACTAGACTATAGACTAGACTATAGACTAAGACTATAGACGAGACCTATAGACTAGACTATAGACTAGACTATAAGACTAGACTATAGGACTAGACTATAGACTAGACTATAGACTAGACCTATAGACCCTAGACTATAGAACTAGACTATAGACTAGACTAGAGAACTAGACTATAGACTAGACTATAGACTAGACTATAGACGAGACTATAGACTAGACTATAAGACTAGACGATAGACTAGACTATAGACTAGACTATAGACTAGACTATAGAAGCTAGGACTATAGACATAGACTATCAGCCTAGACTATAGACTAGACTATAGATTAGACTATAGACTAGACTATAGACTAGACTATAGACTTGGCTATAGACTAGACTATAGACTAGGCTATAGACTAGACTATAGACTATAGACTATACTATAGACTAGACTATAGACTAGACTATAGACTAGACTATAGACTAGACTATAGACTAGACTATAGACTAGACTATAGACTAGACTATAGACTAGACTATAGACTAGACTATAGACTTGACTATAGACTAGACTATAGACTAGACTATAGACTAGACTATAGACTAGACTATAGACTAGACTATAGACTAGCCTATATACTAGACTATAGACTAGACTATAGACTAGACTATAGACTAGACTATAGACTAGACTATAGATTAGACTGTAGACTAGACTATAGACTACACTATAGACTACACTATAGACTACACCATAGACTACACTATAGACTACACTATAGACTAGACTATAGACTAGACTATAGACTAGACTATAGACCTGGCTATAGACTAGATTATAGACTGGACTAGATAGACTAAGACTATAGACTAGACTATAGACTAGACTATAGACTAGACTATAGACTAGACTATAGACTAGACTATAGACTAGACTATAGACTAGACTATAGACTAGACTAATCAGACTAGACTAGACTATAGACTAGACTATAGACTAGACTATACACTAGACTACGGACTAGACTATTGACTTGACTATAGACTAGACTACAGATTGGACTATAGACTAGAATAGACTATAAACTAGTCTATATACTAGGCTATAGGCTAGGCCATAGACTAGGCTATAGACCAGACTATGGACTAGACTATAAACTTGGCTATAGACTAGACTAAAGAGTAGGCTACAGACTAGACCATAGACTAGGCTATAAACCAGACTATAGACTAGGCTATAGACTATAGATTAAACTGCTTTATATAAAGCTGCTAATAAGCATGTGATGTTAATAACATTTTAAAATTCTTGTTAAATTAAATCTTTATAAAATATCGTAAAAATCTTCTCTGTATCAAGAGAATCGTAACATTGTGTTTTTCTGTTAAAACTACTCTTTAACATTCTGTTAACTTCTCTGACCTTGGCTAAAATAATTATTGTTCGTTAGAGTTGTTTTTTTAAATTTATAAAAATTTATTTTTATTAAAATTTTTTAAAAATAATGTTTTCTTTGATAAAAAGTTCATAAATTTAAAAAAGAATATCTAATTTATTTTTTTGTTAACTTTTTTTCAAATTGATTCTTCAATATTGATTTTTTTTTTATTTACATATTTTAAAAAAAATTGTTTAATACTCTTCCCTTCAACTTTTTGAATAGTTAGCAACTTTTGTTTGTCTCCCCAAACAAATAAGTTCGTTAACTTGCTATTGCCCCTCTCAGCAGCAAAAAATGCTGAAGTTGTATATAAAAACAATAAAAAAAGAGCCTTTTCAAAAAAAAAAAAAAAATGCCTTTGTTTCTACTACAACCCAACTCCAACATAATAGTTTGTAATCAAGTTTGCTATTGTTGTTATGGCTAGATTTATTTTTTGTTATTTACTTTTTCTACTTTTCTTCTATTTCTAATTCTTAACCATTTGTTTGTTTCCTTTTTTTCTACAACAAAAATTAACAACATCATTATTTTGAAAACATAAACATTATAATGAAGTTAAACATTATGATGATGTAAACCAACCATCATTATGTTCAATTGTTTACCGTCCTTCATTGCGTGCAAAAAAACAGCAAATAAGGAATATAAAAAACAAACAACAAATATTAAACAACACCAACATATGTTGTTGTTACTGCTTGCTGTTTTTTGTTGGCATTGTTGTTGTAACGACAATGAAATTGAAAAAATAAATAAAAAAGAAGCTGCTGCTTCTTTTGTATTTGCAGATGAAAAAAAAAATACAAAAAAGAAAGAAAAACAAAACAAAAGCCGGCAAAACAAGATGTACAAGTTTTTTTCTCTCTCTGTAATTCTCTCTCCATCACTATGCTGAATATGTTGTGATAACAGGTTTTTTTGGCTTAAATGAATTTAAATGTTATACACTTGTTTTGTATAAATGTTTATAACAGTGTGATAGACTGTTAAGTACTCAATAAGAATACTACTAACTCTGAAGCTAACCGTATGTGCCATGATTCTTGCTGCGTTAGTGGAATCGAGGGAAAAATGTCTAGAACAGAACTAGAACTGAACTAGAAGAACTAAAGCAGAATAGAAAATAACAAACTAACTAGAACGACAGAACTAGAACTAGAACAAACAGAACTAGAACAGAACTAGAACAGAACTAGAACAGAACTAGCAGAACTAGAACAGAACTAGAACAAAACTAGAACAGAACTAGAACAGAACTAGAACAGAACTAGAACAGAACTAGAACAGAACTAGAACAGAACTAGAACAGAACTAGAACAGAACTAGAACAGACTAGAACAGAACTAGAACAGAACTAGAACAGAACTAGAACAGAACTAGAACAGAACTAGAACAGAACTAGAACAGAACTAGAACAGAACTAGAACAGACTAGAACAACTATAGCAGAACTAGAACAAAACTAGAAGAACTGAACAGAACTAGAACAGAACTAGAACAGAACTAGAACAGAACTAGAACAAACTAAACAGAACTAGAACTAGAACAGAACTAGAACAGACTAGAACAGAACTAGAACAGAACTAGAACATAACTAGAAAGAACTAGAACAGAACTAAACAGAACAGAACTAGAACAGAACTAGAACAGAAAAACAGAACTAGAACAGAACTAGAACAGAACTAGAACAGAACTAGAACAGAACTAGAACAGAACTAGAACAGAACTAGAACAAACTAGAACAGAACTAGAACAGAACGAAACATAAAACAGACAGAACTAGAACTAGAACAGAACTAGAACAGAACTAGAACAAACTAGACAGAACTAGAACAGAACTAGAACAGAACTAGAACAGAACTAGAACAGAACTAGAACAGAACTAGAACAGAACTAGAACAGAACTAGAACAGAACTAGAACAGAACTAGAACAGAACTAGAACAGAACTAGAACAGAACAGAACAGAACAGAACTAGAACAGAACTAGAACAGAACTAGAACAGAACAGAACTAGAACAGAACTAGAACAGAACTAGAACAGAACTAGAACAGAACTAGAACAGAACTAGAACAGAACTACAACAGAACTACAACAGAACTAGAACAGAACTAGAACAGAACTACAACAGAACTACAACAGAACTAGAACAGAACTACAACAGAACTACAACAGAACTAGAACAGAACTAGAACAGAACTAGAACAGAACTAAACAGAACTAGAACAGAACTAGAACAGAACTAGAACAGAACTAGAACAGAACTAGAACAGAACTAGAACAGAACTAGAACAGAACTAGAACAGAACTAGAACAGAACTAGAACAGAACTAGAACAGAACTAGAACAGAACTAGAACAGAACTAGAACGGAACTAGAACAGAACTAAAATGAACTCTAACGTTGTAATTTTAGGCATTTCCTTACGAATTCTATTAAATAACATAAATTTCCTGTGTTATTTATAAATAACAAGAGAAATTCCTGTTATTTAATAAATAACATTTTGAAATTCTGTTACTAATAACTTAACTTTACAAATACTCTGTTAGGACAGTTATTAACATTTAAATGGCTATGTTAACTGGTTATTAAACATTCATTAAACTAACATAATTACACCAATTCCATCTCTCTCTCAGCTGCTGATAACTACTCTTTAGCTCTTTATTCAGCTGTATAAAATTTAGTAAACAAACTTTAAACAGCAACAACAACAGCAACTTTGCACCATTCCCCATTTAGTGAGTGTTTAGTAAACACTCTCCTCCACAAGCCTTGCTGTTGTTGTATTTTCTTTTCATTTGTTGAGTATTTGTTGGTGTTGTTGTTTTTGTATTCAGTATGTTGAGTGTTGAAACTTGTTTTGTTGTTGATTATTCTTAGGCTGATGATAATGATGATGATTTTAGTTTGTCAGCGGGTTTCAATGCGTTCGGTTGTTATTAAAAAGTAAAACGGTAGAATTTTATTTGAATTTAAATTCAAAAATAAAGAAAAACAAAACGAATTTGTTTTACGGTCGTTCTTAAGATGATGTTTTTTTTTTTGTCTGAAATCACACTCTTAATGGATTACGGTGCTTTTTATTAAGTGAACAAAAGAAAATAAATAAGAAATAAAGAAAAGAATATAAGAAAAAAAATCTTAAAGAAATATAGAAAAAGGCCGACGGCAATTTTTTTTAAAGTGAAGAAATATTTAATTAAATGTAAAGAAAGAAAATTAAAAAGAAATTAAAAAAAATAATAAAGAAATTTAACAAAAGCAAACAAATTACAAAAAGAAAATTTTGTTAAACAACAAGTGTTAATAAAGTGAAAAAAGGAAAAATATAAAGCAAAAGAAGAAAAAATACCAAACAAGTGTAAAGCAAAAAAGAAAAAAAAAAAAGGAATAAAGCAAAAATCACAAAGAAAGCCACAAAGCAAAATCAGTAAAAATGAAGCCTGTGGATCAAATTCAAAAATAAAGAAAAAAAATTTAAACAAAAAATTTAAAAAAAAAATTTATTAAATTTAAATAAATTTAAAAAAAAGTGTTAAAAATTTATCAGAAAATGCAAACCAAAATGTCGCCTTTAACAAAAATAATTTGCACACCCCGATATTTCTTACATTTGATGGTCCTGTTAATTTTAAATTCCCCCTCCACAAAGGCGGTTCATCGTTACGATCAGTCTTCCTCATTGGATACCAGTAATCCCTATTATCGCACCTCTAGTTCGGGTGAAGTTTTTGGCTCCTCTTCCTCTCTACCCAGTGATGCCTTTCCTCATCACAATCGCTGTGAAGCCATAACAATTTCCATCTGTAAAAATATTCCCTACAATATGACCATTATGCCCAATCTAATAGGTCATACTAAACAGGAAGAAGCCGGCTTAGAGGTTCATCAATTTGCTCCTCTAGTCAAAATTGGCTGCTCACCCGATTTACAATTATTCCTTTGCTCTCTATATGTTCCCGTTTGTACGATACTCGAACAACCCATACCACCTTGTCGTTCGTTATGTGAATCGGCTCGTGTTTGTGAGACTCTTATGAAAACTTATAACTTTAATTGGCCTGAAAATTTAGAATGTTCAAAATTTCCTGTACATGGTGGAGAGGCTTTATGTGTAGCGGAGAATACTACTTCTTCAACGCCTTCTCCTACGCGTATGGTGCCTAAGGTTACGACACGTAAAAATTATGCTGGTCTTGATAGTCCTCATCGTGATATCGGTTTCGTGTGTCCCGTACAATTGAAAACACCACAGGGTATGGGTTATGAGCTGAAAGTTGGTGGAAAGGTAAGTGTGATTCTGAGCGAATTCTTATTGGATTATAGAAATAAAGTGTTCCTTTTGCCGACGGTACAAAATTTTTTTGTTTTCGATTAACTTTTTATGTAAGAAAAGTTATTCTGAATCTGAAGAACTTTTCTTTAGAAAAGTTTTTGATAGAAAAATCAGAATCTGAAGAACTTTTCTATAAAATTGATGATCAGAATCTGAAGAACTTTACTTTAAAAAAGTTGATCAAAATCTGAAGAACTTTTCTATAGAAAGTTGATCAAAATATGAAGGAATTTTCTACAGAAAAGTTGATCAGAATCCGAGGAACTTTTCTATAGAAAAGTTGATCAGAATCCGAGGAACTTTTCTATAAAAAAGTTGATCAGAATCCGAGGAACTTTTCTATAGAAAAGTTGATCAGAATCTGAAGAACTTTTCTTTTGAAAAGTTCATCAGAATCTGAAAAACTTTTCTTTTGAAAAGTTAATCAGAATCTGAAGAACTTTTCTTTTGAAAAGTTAATCAGAATCTGAAGAACTTTTCTGTAGAAAAGTTGATCAGAATGTGAAGAACTTTTCTGTAGAAAAGTTGATCAGAATCTGAAGAACTTTTCTGTAGAAAAGTTGATCAGAATCTGAAGAACTTTTCTGTAGAAAAGTTGATCAGAATCTGAAGAACTTTTCTGTAGAAAAGTTGATCAGAATTTGAAGAACTTTTCTGTAGAAAAGTTGATCAGAATTTGAAGAACTTTTCTGTAGAAAAGTTGATCAGAATCTGAAGAACTTTTCTGTAGAAAAGTTGATCAGAATCTGAAGAAGTTTTCTGTAGAAAAGTTGATCAGAATCTGAAGAGCTTTTCTGTAGAAAAGTTGATCAGAATTTGAAGAACTTTTCTGTAGAAAAGTTGATCAGAATCTGAAGAACTTTTCTTAGGGCAGTTAATCAAAATATGATGAAATTTTCTATAGAAAAGTTGATCAGAGTCTCAAGAACTTTTCCATAGAAAAGTTGATCAAAATCTGAAGAACTTTTCCAAAGAAACGTTTATCAGAATCTGAAGAACTTTTGTATAGAAAAGTTGATCAGAATCTGAAAAACTTTTCTTACGAAAACTTGACCTGAATGTAAAGAACTTTAGTTTACAAAAGTTGATTCTGATCAACTTCTATAAGAAAGTTAATCACAATCTGATCAACTTTTCCTCGACTAATTGCAAACGCCGTCGGCAGTTTTTTTTTTTTTTTGTTAGATTTGAGGCAGTTAGATTTTAAATAAATAATTGAATAAATTCGAAAACACGCCAGTTATACATTAGTTTCCTTTATTCGATTGACTTTCTCTCCCCTATTGACTTTCTTAGACAATTAGACAAATATCAGCTGAACAATGACAGCAGGTACGCAAAGGTCTTTGTATATAATCATCACTGATTTAACAGAACTATTGAGATAACCTGCTGTTATTTGTCATGGAGTTATTTGACCAAATATGTTAAAAAGTCAGAGGGCTTAACAGCAGGTTATTTTTATTCTATAAACATAGATGAAAAGATCAGCTGGGAGGGATAAAAACGGTAGATAAGTTCCAAAAATCGTTGACAAATATTTTCTAGAATAAAATTTTTCAAAATCCTAAAAATCTTTCATTAATCTTGTGAGAAAATTTAGTAAAAAACATGATTTGATTTAGTTTTGATAAAGTTTTTTTAATTTTCCTAGTGTTCCCGTCTGAAATTTGTAAATTCCCAAAAACTTTTTAAAAATCCCCAATATTCCAAAATGCAATTTTAAATTATTTTTAGTATAAAATTTTAATGAAATATATATGTTATATAATATAATATTTAGTATTTTAAGCTTCCCCGGCTGGAATTTTCGAATTCCCAAAAAATTTTCCAAAAATTCCCAAAAGAAAAATTTCACGTTTTTCGATTTTTTCTGTATAAAATTGCATAATTTTTTAAAGTAAATGATTTGATTTAGTTTTTTTTAATTTTCCTAGTGTTCCCGCCTTAAATTTGTGAATTCCCAAAAATTTAAAAAAAATCCCCAAATATTCCAAAATGCTATTTCAAGTTATTTTTAGTAGAAAAATGATAAAATGTAAGAAAATTATTTAAAGTTTTTTAAATTTTTATGCTTTTCTAAGCTTCCCCTGCTGGAATTGTTAGTGATTTTGGTGTTTTAGTCTAAAATTTGCTATTTTAAGTCCAAATTACAGCATAGATGAAAGGCCAGATAATATACATTACAACCTAAATCATAAACCAGTCAATAGTCCAAACATTTGTTATGCCATCTTATAATTTATTCCATTTGTATCCGGTTGATAAAAAACATATTATCATTCCTGCTCTTGAATTAATTTCTCCTAATTACAAAAAATAAATTTATTCCATTTATCACAAACAAACATAATTTTTTTCTATATATATATTTTTTTTTAATTTTTTATCTATTCTAACTTTATAAATATTTATCAATCAATTTTTTTTTCCAATAAACATAATCCCTGCACTTTGCTAGTTGAAACAAACAAAAACAAAAAAATAAAGTTTTTCATATTGGTGTCGAAATAGACAGACTCTTTGTGGTAAAATGACTGGCTTTCAGTCTGTCTATATATCTGTTGTTCTGTTGGTTGTATTCTGGCCACAATCCAGTACAGAATTTAATTGATTATATATACTCAAAGCAACAGAGTAGAGGAGCAATCAAACAAAATTGTAATCTTCAAACCATTAACAGATTATGAGCAGGATTTATCATGTTCATAATGACAAAAACAATAATAATGATGAGGATTTTAGTATGATGGTTATATACAAAATTCATTCATGTGTCTAGGTTCACACAAAGATTATAAAGTGTAAAGAGAACAGTAATTGAAGGATTTCAAAGTTTTTCTTTTATATAGAAATATGAAAAAAACTAAATAACACCCTAAATTATAGATAAATATCCAATTTCAAAGTTTTAAGAGAAATTATAAGTAAAACAATTTGGAATTATGACACGTTTGTAGTAGGCAGACAGACAGACAGATGGACACACAAATGTTTTGTAAATCTATCTAAATCCTTGGCAACAGCTGGACAGACATGAAAATTGTTTTTGCATAAAAATCACTTTATGTTACAAACGTCTAATGGCAACATGTTGCATATTCAGTTATAAATAAATTTTGTTTGTTGTCGACCTTTGTAAAATAAATAAGTGATGTGTTGTAACCCTAAAATTATAACCCCGAAAATTTACTTCCCTCTCAGACAGAGTCAGTCAGACACAAGCACACACACACAATAATCTTTAAATAAATATTTTTGTATAATAAATAAAAGACCCTCTTGATGAAAATTATCTGCCTGTCTATAGGTCTCTGTCTGCGTTCGTTTATTTATTTAATGTAATTGATCTTTTTAAGGGTGAGTGAGATACAATATATTTTAATGGTAATGTATTTTCATTGCAGATTGTTACCTTTTAAAATTTCTAAGAACACAGGAAAACGTTTTAAAATTGAGTATAATAAATACGAAATGGTATGGACTGTTGTCCGGACAAGTATTTGGATTATGGGCTCGACTAAAGTCTTGACAATAAAATACTATATATTTGTATCTGGACTTATTGTCCATTGTCTATAGTCTGGACTATAGACTTGTCTATAGTCTGGACTACAGACTTTTCTATAGTCTGGACTATAATCTTGTCTATAGTCTGGACTATATACTTGTCTATAGTCTAGACTATAGTCTTGTCTATAGCCTGGACTATAGTCTTGTCTATAGTCTGGACTATATTCTTGTCTATAGTCTGGACTATAGTCTTGTCTATAGTCTGGACTATATTCTTGTCTATAGTCTGGACTATAGTCTTGTCTATAGTCTGGACTATAGTTTTGTCTATAGTCTGGACTATAGTCTTGTCTATAGTCTGGACTATAGTCTTGTCTATAGTCTGGACTATAGTCTTGTCTATAGTCTGGACTATAGTCTTGTCTATAGTCTGGACTATAGTCTTGTCTATAGTCTGGACTATAGTCTTGTCTATAGTGTGGACAATAGTCTTGTCTATACTCTGGACTATAGTCTTTTCTATAGTCTGGACTATAATCTTGTCTATAGTCTGGACTATAGTCTTGTCTATAGTCTGGACTATAGTCTTGTCTATAGTCTGGACTATAATCTTGTCTATAGTCTTGTCTATAGCCTGGACTATAGTCTTGTCTATAGTCTGGACTATAGATCACTCTATAGTCTGGACTATAGATCAGTGTATTATCTATAGTGTGACCTTAAGTCTGGACCATAGTTTGGTTTATAGTCAAGATTATAGTCTCTGGTCTATAGAGTGGAGTAAAATGTAGTCTTTTGTCTGGTCTATAGTCTTGCCCCCAATCCATTATTTTTGCCAAAAGTTTTCAAAACTTTCAACACAAAAACTTGTGTCATTTATTAAAAAAAATAAATATTGACAAGTTGTAAATACCAAAACTACAAAAATCAAAATATTTCCACACTTTTTATATTATCTTAGAGGAAAAGCCAACCAACAACAAGTAGTAGTCCGTTACTTAGTATTAATCAAAATTATATAAACTTTTGATTTCAGCGTAGGTTTTTTGTTAACGGACATAAAATATTAATTTTATTTGCAGATAGAAAAACAAAAACAGTAGCTGAAAAACTCTGACAGTTTTTTTCAATATTTAAAATTTAATTATCCACTATTTAATGTCATTTAAATTATAAAAACATATTTTTTATTTTGGTTTGAAAAAAAAAAAACACAAACCAAACAAACAATTTTTTAGCGTAACCAAATAAAATGTAGAAATAAAAAAATCAAAGCTGCACAGTGGTATAGTGCCTAGCACTATTATTTTCATCCATAAGGTTAACTCTTAAATTTGTTACATATATGGATGAAAATAATAGTGCTAGGTAAATTTTCTAAAAGATGTTGAGTTTTCCCTAATTAATTTGTCACTTAAAAAACATTAGGTAGGCATGTT